GAATGAATGAATGAATGAATGAATGAATGAATGATTATTGAATGGACTAAGGGACGAAAGAATCATTGAATGAACGAGCGAACGAACGAACGAACGAATGAGTGAGTGAGTGAAGGAATGATAAACGAATGAATAACGAATGAATGAGCAAATGAATGAATGAATGAATGAATGGATGAATGAATGAGTGAACAAAATACTGAACGGATGAATAGATGAATAAACCAATAATGAATGGATGAATGGACGAAAAATGAATGGACGAATGATTGAATGAATGAATGAATGAATGAATGAATGAATGAATGAATGAATGAATGAATGAATGAATGAATGAATGAATGAATGAATGAATGAATGAATGAATGAATGAATGAATGAATGAATGAATGAATGAATGAATGAATGAATGAATGAATGAATGAATGAATGAATGAATGAATGAATGAATGAATGAATGAATGAATGAATGAATGAATGAATGAATGAATGAATGAATGAATGAATGAATGAATGAATGAATGAATGAATGAATGAATGAATGAATGAATGAAATGAATGAATAATGAATGGACGAATAAATGAATGGATAGAGAATGAATGAGTGAACGAATTAATGAACTAAGAGACGAACAATCTACTCAATCAACTAATTAATTAATCAATCAATTAATTGGTTAAGATTTTGCCATTCAACAGTGATGAGACCCGCTGCGCGCCTGCACCTACCTGAGGTCCGCAGTGGTTTGCATGGAACCGAACTTCCCGAAAGGAGATCAACGAGTGCGCGTGCATCGGCCTGCTTGATATTTTCTCAAGTCTTTTCCCTGACATTCCTTGCATAACCCTGGGGGGGGGGGCTCCTTTTATGTGAAAGACGAAATGATTCATCTCCGTTTCTCGCTGTTTCAAGTTACCACTCGAAAGCACGAAGGTCAATTGATTTAGTTAGGGCAGAAATAAGACTAGTTTTACCTGTTCAACAGTAACAAGGTTGTAGTGGTCGCTTACGGTGTACACACCCGGCAAAAGCCAGGTCGTTCCCGCTGTTTCCTGCAGGGAGGGATGGAGGAAAAGCTGTCATTTCCTGTTCGGGAGAATGATCTATTCTTGGATGGGATTTTCATACCGGAATCATTGTGTGGCAGAAAGGGAAGACTTTTCTAGGGCTTCGTTCGACTTTTATGGAAATTCCACACAAATGACACGCAGGAGTTTACTCCTTTTGACGTCCCATGACCTGGGGCTGAGTTACAAGTAATATTTTTCTATTTTACTGGATCCATAAGCAAATATCCTGCTCTCGTTATGATCTTGGGTTGTTTTTCGGTGCAGTTGCGGACAGGTCCCGGAATACTCAGCCACTCGAGGCTATTCACCCTTGTTCGGACTCATCCAGTGGGTTTAGGCAATCGGTCGCATAACCCTTTTGTTCATATCCTCTTTTCACCAGTGATTTGAAATCGATTTTTGCGGATGATTCTCGTTCTGTTCCGCCCAGTATAGCATATTAAGATACACGGTAGCTTGAAACAACCTTTCTGGAAACAAAGGAGGATTATCACAACTGTACTTACAAAGGTACCACGGAATTTTCCGCAAGGTCACGCTTGAATCTCCACAAAGGGCCCGCAGCGAGCAAATTCTCGATCCTGATTGGCTCGCATTCTGACCAATCAAGGTATGCCTTCGTTTGTTTCGTAACCGGTTTGCGAAGCATCTATCTAATCGAGTGATTTTCGGTTATTTAATGTGGCTGGCTCCAAGACATCCGTTAGAATTTCTATGAATTGTAAATGTCTAACGTCCAGTTATCGTATTTTCGCCAATCTCCCTTTCTGTCAACCTATTTACAGCACTATGGTCGAAGGAGCACAAATCGCCGCATCTATCAAAATTGTGATATTTGTTCAACCCCGAGGCGTCTAGGGACCTGTCTGATTATCCTCTACATGATTTTCAAGGTCATAACGCTGATCAATGCCATCCTCCAGCTGTACCTTATCCAGCGTTTCCTCGGTTTCTATTCCGAAGGTAGCACGGGGTCACGAAGTATGAACTTGGCCAAAGTTGGAGATTCTGATAGAGGTGGGTGGACTTTTTTCCTTGCTATCATTCGAACCATTCCTACTAGCTCTTCAGCAAGCGGTGATTGGCCATTGTGGCTGAAGTTTATCAGTCTTGAGTCAGTAATCGAACCATGATACCTTGTTCTCATTCGTTCGTCTGTAACACCCTTCCGGTGCCTGGCCTCCAAGCCACCCGAAGAAGGCACGAGGTACTGCCAGGTTGCTCAAACCCAAACAGCAGCGGGGTTGGGTTCGAACAACGGAGCGTTTGTTCAGTAAGTTCGCGTCTTAACCAATGGGCCTTCTCCAGCTATCAAGATCTATCTAGCTTGCATTATAGCTGGCAAACCGTTATGCTACGTTTGGGACGATAAGACGCTGTGTATATTTTAAAAATCACCATGGCCTATTAGTTATTGGCCTGGTGGGTAGGAGGTTTGCACAGGGAAGCGTAAACGCCATGAGACCCAAGTTTACAAGATCGGGTACCTTCCTGCTCATTCAGATAGGGTGCAACAATACGAAAACTGATGATATCGGAAACCCAGGCAGAGGGACGTGGTACTCTTCTCGGCATAGGACTATTCCGTGGCATATTTTTCGACCTGACAACACCTCAGAGGAAAATGGACTTTTACAAAAAGATGCCCTCATCATTTGACACCCAACTGTGGAATAAACCCGGATTTATTTTCAAAAATCAACACCTGATTCTCAAACAAAATCGTTAACATCCATGGCACGATCAACTTTGGTACAGCGCTTATTTATTTATGGAGGAAACTACTCGACGGGTTGCTGAAAACTCTTCGACAGCGCTTATCTCTGTGTACTGAACACCGTCATGCTCTGTGTGATTTAACAGAAGGCTAGGGTTTCCTTTACTCATTTTTTACTGGCTTACTATGTGATAAGTCCCAAGAAGTGCACGAATCGATCGACTTCTTGTCCCTTGAACATGGCTGACAAATCGTTCTTTTAAGTACTGATATGCAGGGTGGTCTACGCGTGTTGACCCGTAAGTCCATCCCAAAAGGATCTTTTTGTTACATCTGACTGCTGTTCCCGCTCCAGTGGCAGAAAAAGATTCACCGATAGGGAACACAACAGCTTTGTTGCGAACATGCGACTGCGTGCGAGTGCGTGAGTGTGAAAATGCAACTGCCTCAAACTCGGGGACTGCGCCTATCTGATGAGCACGAACTGGAAGGGTGAAACCGGCCGTGCGCTGCCAAAGTGTTTTCAGCAACCTTGTGAGTAGTTTCCCGATGACAACCAACGTGCATTCAGTCAAACCCAACCATAAAAACACGAAACCTGATGCAAGTAAGAATGAAATTCCAAGCAGAATCAAGTTCTTGGCGAAATTCTGCACGGTGATCATTCGATGCATGGAAATATCTCAACGGGGACAATCACCTTGTTGGCGGAATTAGATCCACACCAATCTGTGCGTATGTGTGTAGTTGGATCGAGTTGTATGCCTATTTATTGTGTGCAGTGTGAAGAGAGGGGGTGTCCCTTTGTATTCGGTACTTGCACGAATGTGAGTACAGCTTGACCTGTTGGGTTGAAGTTCGTAAGCCTGGCGCGTGACGCAGGTGGTAGCCACGTGAACAAAAATGGATGAGAGGTTGTAGTGTGCATGTTGTCGGTTCAGGTTGCAAGTGGGACAAAAATTGTCACGTGGTTTGAGTGTTTGTGACACGTGAGCTGGTGAGTGACCGCTACACATGCACTCAAACCAGGAGAGCTAACTTTCATGAGATCAGAGATCTCTGTTTTTTCTCTCGATTTCTCAGCCTCCTATTCAGAACCTATCGACTGACCAGCTGAATCTTCTGTTTAAAGGGTAAACCTGATCGTGAGGTGTCAGAGAGTCTTCAACAACCTTAAGAGTAGTGTGTTACGTCTGGACAACGCATTTGCCGTGTTTGGTCGGTGAGTGGGTGGGAAGTAAATTCATTTTTGATCAGGTTTGGGCCGTTCACATTCCGGTTCAGGTAGCTTCAACTGATGATCCCTCTTGAGAGAGTAAATTTTGTTGGCCTATACGGGTTTCTGAGTTCTACGGCAGTTTGCTTTTTCCGGGAGGGGGGGTGGTGAGATCAAGTAGAATTTCTGGTCTGCTTGGGCTATGCACTACAGATTTGAGCTACTTATGTTGATGACCCCTCCACCTCTGCGCTGACTGGCCTATACGGGTTTCTGAGTTCTACGGCAGTTTGCTTTTTCCGGGAGGGGGGGTGGTGAGATCAAGTAGAATTTCTGGTCTGCTTGGGCTATGCACTACAGATTTGAGCTACTTATGTTGATGACCCCTCCGCCTCTACGCTGACAACCGTACACCACCACGTGTCAACTCGAATGATCTAGAACCTCTCTTGACAACCTTACCAGTTCTGCGCCGTCTAATCTCTGGACACTATGACGCTTGGCGATTTCCACCGCGTCGGCTCTCAGTCGCTGTGGGGTGAATCGTAGTCCCTGCCCCAACATCTTCAAAATCTATTTGTGTTCCGCGTCTGGCATTCATCTCTGTTTCTCGGCGGCCTGTTTGTTTTTCCTTTGTGCTCGCCGATCCTAGCGTGAAGTCTCCTAGCCGGATGTCTTACACAGACCATAGTACAGTCGTTGCATTGGATGTTCTAGATGCAATCCCTGGTTCCACACGAGAGATTCAGTTGCGTCTATCGTGAAAACCTAACTGATTTGCAAATGAGTGTACTTCTCGAAAACGGAAACCCACTTGCAAATCACTTTGGTTTTCATGACAGACTCAACTGACTGCGCCTACCTGATGAACCCCAAGAAGGGCGAAACCGGTCGTGGAGTTTTCAGCTCGTTCGTGAGTAGTTTCCGTTATAAAAATCCCTGGTTCCACTTACCGGGAGACCATCCTTCAACTGCACTAGTGCAGAGCCCAAGTGGTGAGAGACCCAAATCTGGTCAAAAACGAATTTAATCCAGCCCTTCCCCTAAATCATTCGGCCTTAAGATTGGGTCCACACTAATCGACTACACCTCCTAACCGACACTCAACACTGATCTAACTGAGTAGTTCACCGTCTGCCTTAAAACTCAGTGACTTGGTGACTTAGCCCGATGAAGCTTTTGTGTCAAAAGCGAAACGTCGCCCAGCTTTATGAGCCCTTTAGCAAACCTCACCAAAACGTTGATATAAGACTGTTTTAGCCAAATTAAGTTCAAGGTCGTTTGGTCAGGATTTCACAGTGTGCAACGTTCGTCAACTAGCCTCGATAGAAATGCGTGTTTGTGTGCGGCCGGTGCGAAACAGATCGATATTTACCGCAACTTATCGATCCACCTAATGAGTACGGTATCCAGTCGTTCAAATTCCATTCACATAGAGCAAACATGGAAATGAAATGTAGCAGTACAGTTGTGGCACCCTTTGGGTGCCTAGCTGCCAAGCCACCCGAAGAAAGCACGAGGAATGAGATCCTGCCAGGTTACTCAGGCCTAGATAAGAGCAGTCGAGATGAGGAGGTCAGGTTCGAACCTCGGACCTTCTGGTCAGTGCTCTCTCGAGTTGATTCGAACTTGCTGAGGAATTCAGACTAGAAAACGACTGACTGTTTATGATAAGATCTCGCCCTCTCCCTTCCATCTCACTATTTCTCATAGTTTTGTGACAGTGACGCATCAGTTTTTACTATTCGCATGAAGAAGTGGAGGACGAACAATTACATAGCTTCGTCACGGAGATAGCGACATTTCAGATCGGGTTCTCACTATGCAAACCGTAAGAATAGTCCATTTTGGAAGTGGACCAAGTTTTTTTTGGTTTTTATCGTCATTTTGAGATAACCACGATGAAAAAAGCGTTCAGCTTTAGCAACCTTTCGGTACCTAGCTACCATGCCACCCGAAAGTTGCACGAGGGCTGGGATACTGCCAAGTTGCCCAAGTCTAGACAGGGGAAGTCGAGAGGCGGAAATCAGGTTCGAACCACGAACCTTCCGGTCACTAAATTCGCGCCCTAACCATTTTGGCCATCATAAGCGCCGTGAAAGGCACACAGTATTGACTACTCTTACCTTTTTCTAAGTAGGTTATCCCTTGAAAAGCAGTCAATGATCTGCTCATCCTGTTCACTTCTCCTGAAGATCGCAAAGTCGGTTTGCCGTACGGATTTGAAGGCCGTCAGATTTGCGAAGAAACACGCTACTGGGACAGATAATCTCCGGCTGTTCACCATTTATAGCACCCTAGCATGAGGTGATCACGCATACTTACGTTAATTCGCAACACAGCATTGTTCTCACGACAGGCTTTTCCTGGGTCTAGCATTTGACTGTTGAGACCAAATGGGTCTTCAAGTCCGAAATTTGACACTGGCCATTGAATGGGACTTGGTGGAAGTCTCTACAATTCAGTGCAAACAAAGAAATATCGATTGTTTGGATACTGCGAACGAGAGTGAATGAATTGCAAAGTTGATTAGCATCAGTGTCGCAGCTTCCGTTGGATTCAGGTCAACGCCTGACTTTTTCGGTAGTATTATTCAGTAGAATGTTGGTAGCTCAGGTAGCGTTGGTCTGTTGACTGAACTGGGCAGTTCGATTCCAAACGTTTCATCACCAATCAAAGTGACATCATCAGTGCGTTGTTAGGGAGCGTAGTGCAGAGTAGGGATGGTTGTGCGTTGAGTGGCGTTGCGTGTGTTACTGGCTGCTAGGCTGGACTGACCTTCGGTCAGTTTTGTTCGGTTGGGTGGTTCCCTTGACTGATCTGTTGTACTGCGGCCTGGTTTGTCGATGACTAAGTAACCTTAGATCCTAGCCTCTCCCGCACTCACAGTGTGGTTGGTAACACATGCCATCTAATCCGGCCATCGCTCTTGTCGCGTAGGCTAACTGTGGATTTTTACTTATGCTACCCTCAGTGCTTCTCAAGCGAAGGAGCGAGAAGCGTCATGGCAAAGAAAAAAGGCAAAAGAAGGAAGATGAAATACATCAGGTTTGAGTGTTTCCCTCCAGCTTACCTTTTAGGCAG